CGAAATTTGCTGCAAAATATGCGAAAAGCTAAGACATGAGTAAATTTAATATTTTCCCGCCGGGTTACTGTCGCACTCGTTTCAACTGTTTCCGGTTGTTTACGCTTTCAGATATTTGTTTACAAACATCGCATACACTTCGACTCAACCTTTTTTTTCTCTGACAAGGATAATATTTTTGAGCTCATTTCAAATATTTTTTCACAATTTTCTCAATATTTCGTCGTTTGTTCGCTGTAAACGGAAATAGTGACAAAAAATCGCGAGAATCCTTGAAAAAAAGGATGAAACTCGTCGAAAAAATTTTCAAATTTTTTTACTTTTTCGCGATTTTTGGGATTTCTGAATTTTTGATTTTCTCAGAAGTTTGGATTTTATATGAGTTTTTAAAATTGTTGTATTTTGGTGATTTTTCAGGTTTCGTGCGATTTTAAGAATTCCAAAAAATTCTGATATTCATTCTTATATTCATAAATTCCAAAAAATTCAGAAGTTCCTAAAAAATTTAAAAGTTTCCGAAAAATCCAAAAAATGTAAAAATATGCGAAAAAATTTCAAAATACCCAAAGATATCTAAAAATCTCGAAAAATCGTCAAAAATTAAATTCCAAAATTCAACAAATTGCCGAAAATCGCGAAAAATTTATAAAACGATGAAAAAATAATGTTTTCATCCGATTTTAAAGCATTTTTTCACATAAATCCCATAAAAACGATAAAAAATTATTGAAAAATCGAAAAAAGCATATTTTCTTAGTTTTACTACCGTTTTCACCGTTTTTCCAATGATTTTCGCCATTTTTATTAATTTTTTTCCGATTTACATCGAAAAATCTGTATTTTCAGGACCAAAATAGTCGAATCGAGTGTGAAGTGAGCAATGGGAATTTTGAGAATGTCAACATTTTGGGAATGGATGCGATGTGTCAGCTGAAACTCAATTTGAATATCAACTGGGATCGGAATAGCTTTGAATTGATTAGAAACTGATAATTATAAAAAATCCATTGTATATTTTGCATTTACAATGAAGAAAAACTATACAATAAAAAAAACAGCAAAAATAATGACAGAAGAATTAATAAATTGACTTACGATATTAATGGATAACTATAATTGTTACAATACAAAATGATTAGCGAGTGCAAAATAAATTTCGAATTATAAAACATATTGCGGAAACAAGTAAGGGTATATTATCATAACATGAAGACAATCATCATTTTGGCAGGAATTTCATACACGACGCGGTTCCACAGCTGAAAGATTTCGAAAATTTGTTGGATTAATATCATAAGCTTCCCCTCACCGACACTCGATATCCGTTTTCTTTCTCTGCTCAGTGGGATCCCAATAGGCTACAGTAACTTCTTCACCAAGTGCTATATCCTTTGTGGCGTATATAGCAACACGTGGGATCAATGGGTCTGATACATAGCGACGGCTATGGACTTCGAAAAACGCCGCATTGGGTTCACAACTATGATTGGCGAATCGGGCTATGTTTCTGGAAGGATTTTTCTAGAAAAAAACTCATCTTAAATAGTACTCACCCTTCCTTTCCAGCACAAATCACAATCTCATCATTCATAACCGAAAATCCAGCTTGATAAGAAGTTGGCTTCCTCTTTTTCCTCGAGTCCCTATCAACAGGTTTCTCAGTCTCCTCTTCTGTCGTCTTCTTATCCTTTTTTCTCAGCGATGTCGCATTCAAATACTCTTGTGCATGTTTTGGAAGAGTCCTCACTATCGCCTGATTGTACACGAACATTTTTCCAGTGTACTCGCAAATGAGCTCTCCTCTCTTGAACCCTTCAGCCGCACGAATACCAAATCCTTTCTCTCCTTCGTGATAAATCACCATTGGTTTCGTCTGGCCTTGTTGAAGGCGTCTCCGTGGGCAGGTGTGCGGACATCCACACTCGTCAGAGCATTCCATGATCACACGAAGATCCGAGACTCGAAAATCAGCGAGGTCCAGAATTCCATTCGAGTCGTGCTTGATCTGTTTGACAGGTTGAACATGACCACTATCTACCATTCGTCTACCCATTCCACTGTCAAGGCCATAGAGGATGTTGAACTGGAAATTTGGAAATTTTGAGATCTTTCAAGAATAATTTACCGTAAACACTCTTATAGAATGTCATCCTATACTTGCACTTTGAGCTCAATTATCTCAACTCCCAAAATAGATATCGAAAATCTGTCAACTGATAAAATGTTGGTGATATTATGATAAATATTTTATCAGTTCACAGATTTTCAATATCTCTCACAGAAATTGAGATAATTGAGCTCTAAATGGAGTTGTAGGGTAGCCTTCCATTAGAGTGTTTACGGTATTTCAAATTCACATTAAAGTTACCCTTTGATTGCACTTGCATCCTGCGGAATTCGAGCAAACTCCTTTGCGTCCAGGGAATATAGTACTATGTTTGTAGAACTTTTTGATGAGATCCGGCGTTGATAGGCTTGCCAGCGAGTTCTTACACAAATCGAAAGCCTCCTTGTCCACGATGTTCACAGAGGAGTACTGAAATTCAATTATTGTCATCGATCAGTTGGAACTGAGGGTCCCCTAACGAAAACTACAGTAACCTCGCTTTTCACTGGTTTTCGTCGAGTTTTCTGTTATTTTTGATAGCAAAAAACTGGCTAAAAACGTACGGAATTCGAGAAAAAAATAATAACATTTTCAGGTTACAATAGTTATCGTTGCAGGATCCTCTTCCACAGCTCTGATTTCTTCGTACCGCATAAAATGGTGGCAATTGTTCTGGATTTCTCATAGCCATATACCAAATTGGTCCGAGCAAATGCTCCTTCTGTTGCATCGAATGAAAATAATCCATATCTTGGTACAACCAGAATCTACTGGTTGGTGAGAAAGATGCGATGGGCGGTTGCACGAAAAACTTAGCCAATGCCTCTTTGAATGTGATTTTCCTTCCTTCCGCATTCATAAACTCAATTGCTTTTATCTCCGCTTCCTCTTTCATCTTCGCAAGAAACTTCTCTCGTATGTTACGATACATCATCACAATCGGAGCAGTGCTGTTGGTTTCATCTGTCATCTGGGTACTCATCGTTTCGGAACTCCATCCTTCGTATAGAACTTTTGTTTGTGTCGGGTCGTCGGGGCACTGAAAACTTTTTGAATCAAAAATTTTGATTTTATGCTTTCGGCAAGTTAAATTTACCTCAAAAAGAGCTTGCGCCACCCACTGTCGCTCTGCAATTTCCCTCATTATCCGATCCTTCTCTGGTCCATCCGCCTGCTCTTCAGCCTCCCGATCGGCTTTATTCATCGTCCACTCATCCCGTTTTCCGTACTTCTTATCGGGAATTCCAGGCCAAACCTCTTCCCGCTCCTCGCCGGCGTTTTTTCGCTCTCTTTTTCGACTCCACGTACCATTTGCTTCTGCTTTCTTGGCTTCTCCGCATCCTCTTGGAAGACTTGGCTCGAATTTTGGAACTACTCGAATTCTTTCATTATATTTGAAGGGTCTTCTGATAGAAGGGTCCACAACAATCATCGTGGGAATTTTTCGCAGCTTTTCTTCATTAATAACTGTATCGTCATCTGATTCATCACCTGTTGGAGACGATCTGGCTGTTTCGGAGTTTCTCCAGCTTACAGGACCAGTTCCTAGCTTTGCTGTGGTACTGGACGGCGTTTTACTCTTACTACGTTGATTTTTGCTAGTGGATCGAGCCGATTTCGATTTCGATCTTCTACTTTTCGGTGGAGGTGTAGGTTCTGGTTCTGAAATTGGACTGACTGCTTTTCTAGATGTTTCGACGTCTACAGCTTCTGATTTTTCTGATGTGGGCAGAGTATTTACACAAGGAACATTCTCGTTGGTCCTTCTTCGAAAAAACGACGTCACTTTGTGATTGAGACTGGAATTTGACTCTGACGTCGGGTCGCGATGCTGTATCTTTTTCACTGGGGAACTAGAACTGACTCTATCAACGGTCTTGATGAAACTGCTTCGTTTCCGCCTAGTTTTTCTATCGTGTCCACCATCGTTCTCATTCATATTCGCTGGTGCAAGAACTTCTGGCAGACTCCGTCGCCTCACAACCATCACGCCTATAAATTTCTTCATTTTTCAGACAAACTGTAGTAAAATAATCAGTTTCGGACAGAAACACAATCAGAAATCGATTAGAAATCAGCAATTTTTATAGTTAATTTCATTTTCGCGGTGTTTTATCTTGTCCGAGAGGAGTACACAACTGTCGCTTCGAAAACTGGAGTTGGAGAAAGTCGGTGCGCCTTGAAAATTTAAATCTTTTTCGCTTATTTTTTTCCGTGCTTTTTCGAAGTAAAAAACACAAATTCAAGTTTTTCAGATAAAAAAATGTCGGCAGACAAATCACCTTATCAGATAGAGCCGTACAAAACAGTCGGTGCACATCGGGACCTCATTCATTGCGTAAGAAATGAAAAAAAAAGATATTGATGGAAAAAAGAGCTAATTTTAGGTCTCATTTGATCCGCACGGTCGTCGGATGGCCACTTGTGCCAGCGATATGACAATGGCGATTTGGGATCGACAACCAGATGGAAACTGGAGGCGCTCTGCGCATTGGAAGTGCCATGGAGGAGCGGTTTGGCGTGTTATTTGGGCTCATCCGGAATTCGGACAGATTGTTGCGTAAGGGCGTTCTGCTAGAATCTTCTAGAAACAGAAATTGTATTTTTTCAGGTCGTGCTCATACGATAGAACAATTGTTATCTGGGAGGAGCAAATTGTGCGAACCGAGAAAGATTTGAGTGAGTCTTGGCTCGGATAGCGATAATTAATTTTTTACCGACTTTTTTAGAGTGCAAGGAATCCCAATGGATCCGACGAACGATCATTTCTGACAACCGTTCAGATGTCACCGATATTTGCTTCTCACCACGCCATCTCGGGCTCTCGCTCGCTTCGTGCAACGTTCTAGGGGCTGTGAGAATCTACGAGGCTCCAGATGTCGTCGACGCCTCCAGATGGAATCTTATTCACGAATTACAAGCATTCCATACCCGTTGTGGATGTGTCACCTGGTCTCTATCCCGTATGCACCGCCCACTGATTGCAGTGGGATCTGACGAGAAGAAGGCAGGAGGAAAGGAACGAGTTGTGATCTACGAGAACATTGATGGATTGAGAAAATGGCAAAGGATCCATTCGTTGGTTTTCGACATGCCTTGCCCGATCACAGACCTGAAGTTCTCCCCAATCTCTATGGTTGACAGTCATCAACTTGCAATTGCCTCTGGCGACGTTCACGTCTTCAATATCAAAGTGCCACGTACAGCGATTCTTGAAGAGGATGGAGTCGATAATCCGATTCACCTGGCAGACTACAGTTTCCAGCGAGTAGCTCTTCTGGGAGATCAAAGGAAGGCGTGGCGGATTCGGTACAATTTGATTGGATCTGTGATCACCTCGACCAGCTTGGACGGGACGTTGAGGTCTTGGAAATGTAAGGATTTTCTAGATTTTCAGCTGTTTTTAGTCCAAGGATGTTAGGAATGGATTTGGAATTTCAGGAATTCCGTTCTGAACATCACTGGATTCCAGCTATTTTCAGCCTTGATGACACAAGGTCATGTGTTATTGGAGATCAAAAATCTAAAATTGATTTCCGGTGTTCTTAACAAAACAACAACAGAAATTTCCAGCACTATTCGTCAACCAATGGGTGAAACTGAGCGAGATGAATGTGGACGACTACGTTCCGACGGCCGATGAAGTCCATAAGATTGTCGAGGCGAAAACCACCGAACGTCTTCCATCTCAACTTGATAAAGTCTATTTTTGATCTTTTGACACACTGTTTCTGTTTCGCCGCTCTCTTTTCGTTTCCTTATCACACACGAGTATTGTCATCGAGAAGATTATTTTTTGATGCCTGAATTTCAATTTTCTCAAAAATGACCTGATTTTCGGTTTATTTATCTTGTTTCAAATTCCTACTAAAAACCTCTCGCCGTTTTTTTGTTGGTTCTTTTTTGCCTGTGTTTCAAAGACGCACACACCGTCGGTTATTGTTGATATTATCTCGTTTTTCAACCTACTTCTTGCCCCTGGAAAAGTGTGAAGAGACCCAGAGATAAGGGCAAGGTCGCCAGTTGATCAGTGCGGAACAGGATATAATTACGGTTGCTGTTTTATTTTTCTTTTTTTTTTGCAACATGGTCATTTTTCCATAAAAATCGGCATTTTTTCAAGATTTTTGCCGTCGGAATGTCAAGAATTCCGATTTTTGGTTTAAAATCCCACTTTTCCATCACAACATCGCAAAAAACCGGTGAAAAATTGGCAAAAACTTCTAATTCCAATCGAAGCCCGCAAGAAAATTTCTTGTGTGTACCTTTAACTACAGTAAACAAATAATTCCACTCGGAGCCCGTAAGATAATTTTTTTGTGTGCGCCTTTGACATACTGTAGTTGGAAAAGCTTCAAATTCCGAAAAAATAAGATTTTTTTTCGATCAGAATTTGATTCCGGAAGTTTTTTTTCGGAACTTCATGCCTAAAATGATCAGAATTCCGTCCCTCACATCGGTCTGTAGTCATATTTTTTCCCTAAAAATCGAAATTTTTTTCATAAAATTTCCGCTTTCGCTTTTTTCTCCCGATTTTCATCAATATCGTCCCCATTTAAAGAACTATTTTAAGTGGACATTTTTAAAATGCCTCTTGCCTGTCCAACACTCAACGAGCAGGTTGCAAACTGGCTCAATTGGGATAAGAACGAGAAGACACGTGGCGAGATTCAGGCGCTTGTCGATGAGAACAATGAAGAAGCGCTCAAGGCTCGTATGTCGACTCGTCTCGTCTTCGGAACAGCCGGAGTTCGTTCGCCAATGCAAGCTGGATTTGGTCGTTTGAACGATTTGACGATTATTCAAATCACTCATGGATTCGCTCGTCATATGATAAATGTTTATGGACAACCGAAGAAAGGAGTGGCAATCGGATTTGATGGAAGACATAACAGTAGAAGGTGAGGTTGAGCCGCAGGAAGAGCCTTTCCCGGTCCTTCCGATTTTGAAAATTCCGGAATTTCACGATTCTCGGAATTCCGTTCCGAATATCCCAGATTTAGCCTATTCTTCGTTTAAAACGTTTCTCAACTTTCAGATTCGCCGAGCTCGCTTCCAACGTCTTCATTCGTAACAACATCCCAGTGTACCTCTTCTCGGAAGTCTCCCCAACCCCAGTTGTCTCTTGGGCCACAATCAAATTGGAATGCGATGCTGGCCTTATCATAACCGCTTCTCACAATCCAAAAGAGGACAACGGATACAAGGCGTACTGGTCGAACGGTGCTCAGATCATCGGACCACATGACACTGAAATCGTTCGGATTAAGGAAGCAGAGCCACAACCCAGAGATGAGTATTGGGATTTGAGCGAACTCAAGTCGTCACCCCTTTTCCATTCGGCTGATGTCACCATTGATCCGTATTTCGAGGTTGAGAAGTCGTTGAACTACACCAGGTTCGTTTTCTTGAGAAGTCGAAATTCGGGTGGCAAGGTACTTGGAGGAGGCACCCAAAGTTCTTAAATTTAGCGCCGTTTTTCGGATGTCCCAGTTTCGGATGTCCGATGTCCAAGTTGAAGGGAAGCAAGGCGTTTTGAAGACAAAACCAAAAAATTCCGGAAAAAGTTTTAGTCAACAAAGTACTTAAATTCACGAAAATCAGCGAAATTTTCATATTTATCGCGGAATTTTTTCAAGTTTCTTTTGTTCCAAATCATAGGCTTAAACGCCTTGCTTCCCTTCAACTGGGACATCCGAGAAATGGCGGAAAATGCGAAAATTTAAATTTTTCACTAATTGATATTTTCAGAGACATCAATGCATCAACCCCTCTGAAATTCACCTATTCTGCATTCCATGGAATCGGATATCACTACACTAAACGAATGTTCGCTGAGTTTGGATTCCCTGCATCTTCGTTCATCTCAGTTGCCGAACAACAAGAACCCAACCCCGACTTCCCCACAATCCCATTCCCAAATCCTGAAGAAGGACGCAAAGTGCTGACTTTAGCCATTGAGACAGCCGATCGTAATGGGTCTACGGTGATTTTGGCGAATGATCCAGATGCGGACAGAATTCAGATGGCTGAAAAGCAGAAGAAGTGAGTTTTGGAGTTTTTTTAGCAACATAAATGAGAGTTTTCAGCGGAGACTGGCGAGTTTTCACTGGAAACGAGATGGGCGCTCTTATCACATGGTGGATTTGGACCAACTGGAGAAAGGCTAACCCGTCGGTTGATGCATCGAAAGTCTATATTTTGAACAGTGCGGTGTCTTCGGCAATTGTCAAAACTATTGCTGATGCTGAAGGTAGGAGAAAAATCTAGTTTAAAGGTGGTAAAGGGTGAAATTTTGCTTCATTTTTTGAAGAAAATCTTGTAGATTCCCATAAAAATTTAGAAAAAATTCAAAAAAAAAAATCTCAGTTCTCGTCCTTTTCTGGAAACTTCTGGAAGGCTCTGGAATTGTTTTTAAATTCCCGCCGAAATTGAAATCTTTGAAAAACTAGCGATTCTTGGAGATTTTTTGAGAGTAAAATTGTTTTTTTTCTTGATTTTTTGCAAAATTTTTAGACCTTTTTAGGTTTTTCAGCCATTTCCGAAGATTCTTTTTCGATTTTTCCGAAATTTTTGTCTGAAATTTGATGGAATGGATTTCGTGAAGATTACGGTACGTTACTGTAGAAATCGAACTTTCTTTT